TTTTTGTAACATTTAAAAAAAAAAAAAAAGGTAAGAAAAGTAGAAAAACCTCTATAGGACAAGAAAGCCTTACCTGATACTCAAACCTTTAGGATATAAAAATATTCCAAGAATATCACTATACTTTGGACGGGACAAAAGATAAACAAAAATAGTAAATTGTAGAAATCACAGGAAGGCCAATTCCAGCTCAATATATACAAAAAAAAAATTTTTTTTGATTCAAATTTGAGCTATCCCCAAATGTGAGTGAATAAGCTCTGTATCATTTAAGATAGAGACTGGATCTCCACTTGTTAAGGATGTTGTAGAGGGACTTACACTGGATTAAAGTAGATTTCTGGAGTCCGTTCTTATTCAAAGGTCTATGTTCAGTTGCATAGGATGACAAATGTTATCAATTCTGCTAAAGCACAAGTTTTGTATTATTGACTCATTCCTAACTGCTTTGGTCTGTGTGATCCCTGGATGCTTTGATAACAGACATAGTCATATAATCTGAATATCATTACTTAGGACTGCAGGTTCCCATATAATTTAGTTAAAACAAAATTTTAGTCATACCCCCAAAATATAGTCTAAGTTTATTTTCTTTTTGGTTAGGCAATGGGGTTAAGTGACTTGCCCAGGGTCACACAGCTAGTGAGTGTTACATGTCTGAGGTCGGATTTGAACTAAGGTCCTCCTGAATCCAGGGCTGGTGCTCTATCCACTGCTAAGTTTATTTTCTAATTTTTATTTGGTGTCCTGATTAGAAAAATAACAGAAACAGGAATGGAGCATATTTTTAAGGCTTTCTCCAATCATATAGCAAATCCACCAGCTTCTCCACATAACTCTCTAAAATGTTCTATGGTCTTCACCTCCCTTCTCTGCACATACTCCGCTAATATTTCTCCTTTAATAGAACCAATGAATAACTGCCACTTATCAGAAAACATCCTTTCTCAGATATGTGCTTTATATATTGCTTTTTTCTGAACAGACACTTCTTCAACCTGCTCAAGTCTTTAAGCTATTGCAATTTTTCTTATTTCTATTATATTGCATTTCTCTTGTGGAACATCATAAAGCCCAATTTAATATACTCCTTTGATTTCCAAGTACACAAAGGAAATGTAACTATCTCAGTCCACATTTTAACATCATTTTCTCTACCTTTTTCACAATTTCCTATTATTTCCATAATTCAAAATCCTGGCGTTTAATCTGTCAGGATGAATCTACAATACTCTGTATTCTATAGCATAACAAAAAATGAACATTTCTATTTTCCTTTTAATAAAATGTTCTTATGATAATGAAATAAATATCTTGTTAATTATTTGGAGGTCATGTGTATAGACCCCTCTTTCATTAAACTTTGACCCAAATTTTATTTATGTTGGGGTTTTTTCTCCCCCAAGGCTCTCCATCTATAACTCTGCAAGTCGTTCCTTCATTCTTTTCTCACCCAATACAACAAAACCAAAACTAAGAACTGTGTTTTAGAGACCTTAAATAACCATTTTTTTCCTTAAAAACAAGACAAAAACCACAAAAAAGCTTAAGATGAAGAAAACTAGCTATAATTTTCATCCTGAATTTCGAGGCTGTTTAATAAACTGTTAATGGAACAGTTTATTAGAAGTTCAACAGAAATTAATTTAATAGTTTTCATCTCTAAATTATTTCAAATCAAGCCAATTTATAGCAATTTCAGTTATAGGTTCAAATAATTAGTATTCACAACATACTAAATGTTCCAGGCTTGCTAAAGAAAAGAATATTGCAGTTGAAGGGTACCCTAAACGATCATCCAGTGTATCAAGTAGGTAGAACAAAAAGAACAATTTATAGGTTGACCACAAAAATGAAGTGAAAATACAGTCCAAAGACTTCAGAACTCTGATGCATACAGTGACCAATTCCACCATCAATCAACACCCAAGAATTTATTAAGTGCTACCCACTATGTACCTAACACCATACCGGCGACTGGGATACAATGGGTAAACGAAACAGTTCCTAGAGTCTATGGCCTAGAAAGGAGCTTACTTTTCAATCAGTAAAACACACACTCACTCACTCACTCACTCACTCACTCACTCACTCACTCTCATACAAAGAATATATAAAATAAATACAAAGCAATTTCCAGGGGGAGGTACTAACTTTTGGGGAGATCAGGAAAAGCTTCATGTAGGAAGTATATTGTAAGCTGCGCTTTACAACTACGGATTCTAAAAGGCAAGGATGAAGAGGAGTGCATTCCAGAGAATTAAGAAAGGTCGGGAGATGGAACACTGGTGAGGTATATGGCCCACCAGGTGGAAGGGATGGGATGAACCCTTGGGTGGAGAATGAGGCGCATTTACAGACAGAGTCAACGTGTTTCTTTGTTTTGCTTGATTGTGCTTATTTGTTACAAGGAATGGTTCTGTGGTTAGGAAAGGGGAGGTCATTGCAAAGGAACAGGAGTGTAAAAAAGGAAATAAATAAAAAACATTTTAAAAAGAGATTTCCACCCTTTCATTTTACAGATAAGGAAACTGAAGTCCTTAGAAAGGCTGAGTGATTTGCCTAGTAAGTCACACACATCAAAGATTCGAACATGAGTCTTTTGACGCCAAATTCAGTACTTTTTACATTCTATCCCATACTGCTTCCTAAAGAACAGACATCTTTAGTAGAGGTTAAGGTGCTTTACAAATATTATCTCATATGATCATCACAACAGCCCTGAGAGGTGGGTGCTGTTTTCCCCATTTTACAGATGAGGAAACAGAGGAAGACAGAAGTAAAGTGACTTGTGGAGGGTCAGGAGGCAAATAAATTCTGAGGCTAGATTGGCACCCTAAGCCCAGTTCTCTATCCACTGCCCCACCTCGCTGCCTTATTAACATAATGGCACTCAAATGTGCCCTGAAGTGAATTATTTTGGAAGCCAGTAACAGAATTTAATTCATTTCAAAATCTGTCAAGCTCCCAAATGTCTTTTCGGCACTGGAGACATTGATGGAAAATATTTCCTTAAAGAAACTTACATTCTAAGAGACAAATCAAAAGCTTGTTTTTGAAACTCAGAACGCAGGGTACCCCACTAGATTTTAAGCTTCCTGAGGACAGGAATTCCGTTTATCATTGTATTCTCTGCACCTACGCAGCTCGGTTACCTTGCACCAGCAGGCTCTGAATAAATGTCTGATGAGCTGAAATGCCTCGCTACGTTGCACACGATTTCTTAATACAGGAGGACCCGAAAATCTTGTTGCGGTTAAATGCTGGCTTGACCAGCTTAAAATCGCACTAAGACTTTGGGGACAACATGTACAAACACTCTGGCTACCGTAAAAACACGTGAACTTGTAAAAGGCTGAGGAGGAAGGCAAAACTCCTCAGTGACCTTAACCACCATGTCTGAATCTTTGGAAGAAACCGGCGAATTCGGTCAAGATGACACTGGCTTACATTTAGACACCACAGCACGTGACTTTGATTGTTTTTAAGGAAGGATTCAGCCCTCAGCATCTCCATTAAAAACTACCTGGCGCCCAGAGCCTGGCTTCAGGTACACAGGTGGGGCCTGGAAACTAAAATCCCCATCAGGTGCAGCATTTCATCACCTGGCGGAGGCCAGCGGGGTGGGAGGGCTGGGGGCGGGGGAGCCTTCCCCGAGACCACCGCCCCTAGGCCGGCCCTCTGCACCGGAAGTGAGCAGGTACCCTCAGCTGACCCCGCCCCGCCGGAAGTAGGTGGCCCCTCTCCCAAGGAACCCCAGGCGCCCCCCCCACCGGAAGTAGTCGGCCCCCAAATCGGTCAGCCCGCAAGCAGGCAAACTCAGGTTCAACAATGGGGAAGGGAGGGGGAGAGGAGGGGGCATCTGCGAGCCTCCTCCGGCGTCTCGGAGCCGGCCACCCCGAGGGTCGTCCGCGCTTACTGACCTGCAGGCGGCGGGCAGGGAGAGGCCGCAGGCCTCCTCGGAGCCCCCCGCACTGAGCACAATTCCCTCAGTCCCTTTCAGACGCGCTCGCTCTCCGCTCGGGTCCACTTCACGTCTCGACGCACGGATCCCTCCGCCGCATCCCTCCCCCAACTCCCGCCATGGACTCCCTCTCCCCGCTCCGCGCCTTGGATAGCTCACCATATCCTAAAGTCCCTGACTCGGTAGGAAACACTGGCGGTTTTCCGGTGTGGCCCAAAGCCAAGGGGGACTTCCCGTGCAGCGTTCCTCGAAAAACTCCCGGGATTATTTTTCTCGGCCGCGGAATGAACCTACGTGCGTACGAATGAGACCGAGTTTTCGCAGAGCTTACTGGGAAATGTAGTTTATTTCCTCCGTCCCGTGCAGACTCCCGTAGGCCTAACTGAAGCGCGTCCGCGTCAAAGGGAGAACGGGGTGGAGGAGGGGAAGCGCTTCGGCTTTAGTGTGCAGTCTCTTTTCACTCCACTCCCCCTTCGGAACCCAGGAGCCCCGAGTCTTCTGGAGGGCCCCGGGCTCGCGCCAGTCCGCCACGCCCCCCCCCAGCCTTGGCCCGCCCCCAAGCCAATCAAATTCCCTTTGCCAACTCTTTCTCCGCCCCTTTCTTCCTCGGCTACCTGGCCTCGGGGCGGCTGGCCCTTTCCGCGCGCGCCCGCGCGTGCGCGCGTGAGGGTGCTTTCCCCTATACGCGGGGCAAGAGGTGGGTACTTGGGTGGCGGCGAGGGAGAGCCAGCCAGGCTTCGGGACACTCGCGCGCGCCGGTCCTCGAGGAGAAAGGGGAGGGGAGAGGAGGAGGTGGGAAAGCGCGCGCGCGCGGACATTCCTGGGCGGCGGCGGCGCGCGGCGCGGAGCCGGGCGGGGCGGGAGCGCGCGGAGTCTGGTGGCGGCGCGCGCGGGGGCCGGCCCGAAGCGGGCGGGGGCGCGCGGAGGCGGCGGCGGGGAGTTAGTTAGTTGTTGTGAGTGTCAGCGGCGGCGGCGGCTCCAGCGGAGGCGGCGGCGCCGGGACGGACCGGGCCGGGACCGCCCGCGCGCCCCCCGACCCCTCCCAGCCCCGGACAGACGGACGGACGGCGGACGCACGGCGAGGTGGTCGTGGCTGCGGCGCCCGCCGCTCTCAGGTGAGGCGTGCGGCTCGGGCGGAGCCCCCTCCCAGCAGGCAGAGACCCCTCCCCGCGGGACCAGCCCCCGGCGCGCGGCCGGGGCAGCGGGGGGGGGGCCGCGGGCTCCGAGACTGCGGCGCCCAAGCGGGGAGGGATGCTCGCGGCAGCGCGAGGTGCCGGGGCAAGCGGGGGTCCCCCCGCCCCGCCCCGGGGGCGCCCCTGTCCTCGGGGCCCGGGCTGGGCCCCTCTCGGGAGTTTGCTCCCTTCCCCCCTTTTCCCTCCCGTCCGTCGGGAGTGCGGGGCGGGGGCTCCTTGCTCTCCCTTCTGCCCCGGGGCGGGTGGGGGGTCTGCCCTAGGGGCCAAGTTCAAAGCTTTGAGCCGGGACTCGGTCCTCCGCGACTGCTGCGGACCTCTGCAGAAACAAGGGGCTGGGAGTGGGAGCGTGAGCATGAGTGTGTGCGTGCCTGTGTGGATCCGCTTGTGAGTGTGTGAGTGCGCGTGCCCTCTTAGACGTTACCCTGTTGCAGTCGCTGCTGGTGAGAGTCGCCCTCGGGACCTTATGGGATGGGACTGGTGGAAGCCTGGGATGGGGGGGGTGATGAGTTAAAGGAAAACTATGATTTCATCCCTCTTGGCTTTGGGTTAGAAAAGCTAGCACACTTCTCTTTGGCCTGTTAGTTAAATGAGCTATGATTTTTAAAAAATTGAGCTTAAATGTAGCGTGGTTCTATCAGACGTGCTTCTGGAGGCGTTCTACGCCTCATTTGACAAAGAACAGGAAAGGAAGCGGTGGTCAGGGTGAAGCCCCAGCCAGTTTTTAGCGGAAGGTTGGCTCGGTATGGAGCGCTTCACCTGAACTCAGCGCTGGCTCGAAGATCCGAGTTCAGGAACTGGTTACTGATGGTACGGCCCACGCAGAGGCTCTTCGTCTTGGGGGGGGGGGTGTCCTGGACCCCCTTCGGCATTCCTTTGAGTCCCATTATTCCAAATGCTTTGATACAGAGGATTACAGAGGAAACCAATTATAGCGAAATGTAGTCATCAAAATTTTTTTTTTTAAAAGTTCAAGCACCCAGGTGAAGAGCCCATTTTTCCTCATCAGTGAAGAGTAGTGTGTATAGAAGGGGCGAAAAACTCATTGCTCTCTGGGCCCGAAATATACTTAGCTATTATCCAAAGAGGTAAAACTTTCCATGAGTGATTCTAGTTATGTGTTTCATGATGGCTCGGCAAATAATATCCAGGCTTCTTTAGGCATCTCCATTCACTGACTCTCTGAAGTGTTTGCTCACTTTTCTTTAGTGACTCATTTTTTTTTTTTTTTTTTTTAAGAATCACGAAGGCAGGCAGAATGAATTTTCTTGGCTAGAATTTTCGGGAGATTGGAGCTGTCTAGCCTCAGCCCTAGAGACTCTGCTAGCGCTGACCAGTTGTAGCTGTTTCCAACACACAAACTCCCGGGGGAAAAATGCGCCTCCCTCTTCCACGATTGTCCAGGGGGCAAATGCTTTAGGATTTATTTTGGGAACACAGCTTCACTGATAATTTCTGGAAGAACAAGAACTTTATCAAATTGTCACTGATACGGCTTTTGATGTTTAATGAATGGTTGTGGTGGGGATGGTTTTGTTCTCTTGGGGGAAAGGGGCTGCAGAGGCACAAATGGGATGTTTGTGTTCCCTCAGTAGTTGTCTCGTGATGGTGTCCTGAATCTTCCATAATTTTGTCTCCCCTTATTAATGTGGCTTTAAAATTCCTTTTCAAGAATATCTCTTCATAACTGTTTCCTGACAATCACATTTTAAAAAAATTTGTTCCTGTAAAGTATTTTATTCAAGCTCATGTAAACATTTCTTTTGCACATTTATGCTAATGTAAATATTTAAGTCTCTGAGCTTCAGAACTTTATTTGCTTATTTGCATATGTGTTTTTCAACATTTAACAACACCTACCACATTTGCCAAATGAGCAGAGGCCATAAATTTGTGTTTTGGCATATTTCATATAATTGCTCTTCTCAATTGCTCAATGGTGAAACATCATGAGATTAGCATTTGTTTTATGAGAGTGATTTGTTGTTTTTAACTATATAATGTTGTGCTATTTAAATAAAACAGGTGCTGTGTTATGGCTGATTGTGTTACAACCTGCCAAATCACTTTTTTTTTTTGTTTCATTGATTGTGTAAATCAGTAGGGACTCTACTGTGGCCTCTGGTGCAGATTTTGGATCATAAAATCAATGACTGCTTCAGAGCCTTCAAATCAACAGACACATTTATTAAGTGCCTGATATGTTTGGAGGGGGAATGCAGAGATGAATAAGGCACTATCTGCGCCCGGAAGGCAGCAGAGGTGTTAAATCTAATGAGAAATAGAACAATCGCATAGGAAAGTTACAAAGTGCTGGCACATATCGCTTCCAGCTTTTTCGGAGGAGATCAGGGAACCCTCTGTGGAGGAGGTGGAGGAAGGAGCTTCCACAGGGTAGGGGGCAGGGAGACTGCTACATCTCACACTGAGGAAGGCTCCAATAAGGATTGCATGTGGGAGGAAGAGCCTGATGAACTTCAGGGTAAGGTCCGGATGGGCAGGAGGCCTCTTTGCTTTGCTCTGGCCGTTTTGCAGCTTTTAGGTGCCTCACTTCCTGGGGCTCCCCTGGTCTTGGTTACCCTTGGTAGCCAGCGCTCGGCTCCTTCTTCACTTCTACCTTGAAGACTCCTTAGATTTCCCCCAAGGCCCAATTTCGGTACCACTTCCTCCTGGAGCTGTTAGGGATCCCCCACATTGTTAAAGCTCTCTTCCTCTTCTAATGATCTATTATATGGTTCTATATTCTATCACCTAGCCCTCATTAGAATGGAAGCTCCTTGAAGGGAGTGACTGGTTTCATTTCGTGTCCTCCTGGTTAGCACAGTGACTTACACAAAGTGGAGGTAGCAACCAGATGATGTAGTGGTCAGGAAGGCCCAGTTCAAATCCTGCCTCAGGCGTTTACTAGCTGTGTGACTCTAGGCAAGACACTTAACCTTCCTGTGCCTCAGTAACCTCATCTGTAAAATGGGGATAATAATAGCATCTACGTCCCAGGGTGGTTGTGAGGGTTACATGAGTTAACATGTAAAGTACTTTGCAAACCTTAAAATGCTATGTAAATGCTGGCTATAAGAATAATAGTTATTGTTATTGTTATTATAGAATTTAAGATATTCAATTAGACTTTTCCCAAGCTAGAAATTCTGGGCCTTTCTCTAAGAACACTGAATTTTTGAATACTTAGAAGTGAGAAAAAAGTGTCATATGAGAAAACTGTACTATTGCTTTATCTACAAACAGTTGAGGGCCACTACACTGCCTTGGAGTCTAGGATAGGAAAAGTTATTTAGGCTAGGTTTAAGGAAAGACTTCCTACCAACTAGAGCTCCCCATTTCGGGGGATGGGGAATGCTGACTGTGAAGTAATAATGAAAGTTATCAATAAGAGAAAAATGAGTTACAGCTTATTATCCAAAAGTGGAATGGGTGACCTCTGGATGCTTGTCCAATTTAGATGGTTTCTGAGGCTCCTTCCAGGTCTGGGCTTCTGTGTGTCTACCTTCAAGGAGCCTGATTGGCCTGGGGTACCAGGATACATACATAAAATAATTAAGATGATTAACTGAATATGGTAGTGACAAATCATAGTCTATAGACAGCAGGTATGAGAAAGGTTCATTGGCATGGGAGAAAAGGACTGATGGGAGATGCCGTCAAGGAGGAGAGGTGAGACATTGCCTTGGTACCCAGCTATGTTGTGTGCTCATGAGTGCCCCTGGCCCCAGGACTTTTGTCACATCTTCACACACACTGGCTCACATTAGACCTCTGTTTTTTCTCCTTGGTCCCTCAATTTGCCTCTTCTGCTGTTGTCCCCACGTTGAAGAGTCATGGGATGGTAATTATAGTGACCATCATTGGTTTTGTAAGGCAAACTTGAGCTAATTGTGGTGGTAGTTGTTATTGGGCTTGATTTTTTTTTTTACACCTTTGACTTTTTGCTACCTTTTCCCAAACAGGTGGGAAATGAAATGTTGACTAAACTCTTTTTACCTCAGAGTTGCCAGCAATTGGATTTTATCATTTTGAAAGAGCATTGTGACTTTATCAGCTTTCACTTATATTCTCTTTCTTCTTTTGTGGTGGAAATATGTTAAAATGTTTCTATCCCATGTGGCTCTGAAATACATTGTTAACCATTTGGTCATAAAATGCCAAAGGTAGAAGACCGACTAACAGTTCAATGACACTTCTTTATAGATCGGAGAACCAAGCCCCATTCATCCTGCTGCAGTGACCCAGCCTGGGCATTCCTCCCCAACTCTGCTGTCTCCCATCCTGTGCTCTTTGGACTGTGTTTTCCCCCCCCACCTGTGCCTATTGATTAAGAAAATTAGCCAGACTATGAAATGGGTTGCTGAAACTCCACTATCCACAATGATAATAGCCAGCATTTATTTACATCATGCTTCTACATATGTTTACTCATTTGATCCTTACCACAGGTCTGGGTGCTGTTATTTTCCCCATTTTACAGATGAGATTGTAGAAAGGTTAAGTGTCTGAGGCCAATGTGAACTCTGGTCTTCTTGCTTCCTGGTCCTGCTCTCTATCCATTGTGCCACCTAGCTGTCAGAAGTATTTATAAACTTAAAAGACAATATTTTGAAGGATTTAGTGGAGGGAGAAGACTTTGGGTAAAGTCATCCAATGTTATATTTGAAATGCTAAAATCCGATTGCAGGAATTTCTGAAAGAAAAGAGATAGTCAAGATAGAAAAAGAACTAGCATTTATGAAGCACCCACTCTGTGCCAGAGAGTATACTAAGCACTTTCCAAATATTATTTCAGTTGATCTTAACAACAACCCGTGGGTGATGGGTGCTATTATTATTCTTTCTTTGTAGTTAAGAAAAGTGTGGTTAAGGGACTTGCCCAGGGTCACAAAACTAGTCTTTATCTGAAACTAAATTTGAACCTC